GACTCACATTCACGAACTTGAAAGAGGAAACGCCGTAACATTTGCAAAAGTAGCCGCTCCAATTTTACTGGATTGTCACAGACCCTCACCTGAAACGAGTATGGCTCAGGGAATTCGTAAGGGGCACAGAAATATGACTGAATTCTGTACATAAGCTGAAGTTCTGCAGGAAGATCAGGGGCACCTCCCAGACTCAAACTTCCTATGCTACAGGAACTCCACGTGGGTGAACAGTGCGGTCATCTAGTATCCAGGGAGGTATCGGATCTATTCGGCTAACAGTCGACTTCGAGTCCGTCCCCAGTGGCAATGTTACCTCCGCCAACTGCAAATGCGGTCTTGTAGCGATTGGAAAACCAACAATATTAAATTTCTTGTAGCCTGAGGGACGAATGGTCAGCACAGCTTTTAGGATCTTCCAGCGACCGTCTGGCAAATCAATCATAACTGTAATTCCAGCTAGAGAATGGATACATGGCGCACTCCATAAAAGATTATAACATGGACGGAAATTGGAAGATGAGAAATGAAAGAGAAGCTGCGGCCTAACACTATATAAAGGAATCACTTGAAGATTGAGATGTCACGTGAGTATTGAGATTTGCTCTGATATTTCGGAGCCAACAACTTTGGGGGGGAGGGGATCACATGAAGGACTCTTTGTGCAGGGGCGGGATTTTCACAAGGAGGTTGAGAACGCCTATCTCACCGAAGAGGGCAAAGCTGCGATCCAGTTTGAAAGGCGGTAGTTCTGTTTGGAAAGACTTGTACAATGAGTCCCTTTGATGGCTCTCGAGGTTATAAGCGCCGTCCGTTTTGTCTTCAACTATTTAAGAAATACGATTGAGCGAAAACAGGGAAATCAGAGTTAATGGGCTATACAAAAATTTGTATGGGCCACCCACAAAATCCACTATCAATTACAACTGAATCAGGGTGCATGGCGCATTCCAGGCAAAATATTGGCTCATGAGCAAAAAATAGAATTCTCTGGGCGGTAGTTTTGAATCATATTGCGCCATTTCGTTGAAACTGAACATGTACCCTTGCCATTACCCAGAGCAGCCAGAACATGCCCCTTCGTGATTACTCGAACAGCCAAAATCGAGCAAGAAAACCGATCAGGGAATGGAGGGTCTTGTGAGGATCGATTTTTCCCTTGCATTGCCTGAATCAATCAATGACGAAATTGGATCATTTGCCGGTACAACCAGTTACTCAAGATCAGTACATCAGTACAGTATTGACTGAAAAGCAAAATTCTACGGGAGACAGTTGTTGATAGAAGAGCAGTGCTTCAATATCAGTCTTTGTTGACGAGCCGTGTTTACAAGGAACGATTAATCAACGAGCTCATGTTACCATGGAATTAGATAGTAGTGTATAGTAAAGTAAAACCATGGGAAGGTGCTGAGGCTAAGAGGCTCTACGCTCAGAGAGGCAAGCTTCGTGAAAGCTGAAAAAAGGGTAAGGCACTTGACGCTATCAATAATCTTTGGCATGGGCCACGCACACGGCTCTCTCTCAAAATCGTGGTGGTATTTGGATGGTATTTCCATCTCAAACCTGGTAACAAATATTCGCTTTTAGAGTGGAAGAAAAGCTTCTCTCAAGAGACAAATGAGGAAACCATCAACGTCTAGAGCTAGAATAATTAAAGATAAAATAATTAAAGGCCTCAATTAAAGGCTGAGATGAAGAGAGTGGAAGAGGAATGAAATGAGCCAAATGGGCTATTAGACAAAGAAATGGGCAGAACTAGTTCTCTGAATGCCCTCTGATTCGATAAGCGCGAATTGCACTTGGTAATCAAAAAATGACTATTGATTGCCTTTGGATATGTCTACTGAGGCAGAATACAATTCCTGGAGCAGTTCGGCCGTAGGGGGGGGCATTTTGCAGGCTATTAGGTATCATTAGCGACACCACTTATGGAGTCTGTAAACTCCTGTAAAGTTATGCAATAGAAAGGCTCCGCTTATACTTGGCAAGAGTACCTGCAGGTTTTACCAGGACGAGACGCGTAGTTCAACAGGCACCTGCAAAAGAAACTAGCAAGAATGCAAAATGCCCCTCCTAGACCGAACAGCGCCCAATTTTTTTAGGCGCTGATGAACAGAACTGTTCATTCCAACTGGAACAAAAGGGAATTAAGTGGATGGAAAAGTTCTTGAGTTGCCCTATGCATTCGTGCTCTGAGGAAAGTTATGGAGTGGCGGATGGGAGACCCGCGTTCCTGCGACGGCGCGAAACGGCTTCGGGGCGTCACTTGTGCGCAGTTAGCACTGGGATCTAAATGATTTAACGTGGGCTCGCTGCAACATACTGGCGGAGTGGGTAGGAAAATGCTGGCCGGTCTATGGGCGCCGCCGCGTCATACAATCTCCCGAACGCCACATCAGATTGAAAAAAAGCAGTTCAACGAGCGAAGGCCACGGCAGTTCACTCAAAAAGATATCAAATGTGTTTGACATCAAAAGAGAACGACATTTTTTTTTGTTCGATTGGCGCTCACGGGAGGGAAGCGAGAGCATTGATTCGAAGCGAAGAATGGGAACAACATGAAAGTACAGTACCGCCCTAATCGATATTACAAAAACTTAACCTCCTTGTTGAACGGCGGCCGTAGAGAGTTCAAAGTCGGGTCACTTGATATGCAGTGGGGGATATCCGCAGGGTCAGCTAGGACATTGACATTGATCCTGTTGGGAGATTAGGAGGACGATTCTGAGAGAAGGAAGAAAACTGGGAGGTCTCGCTGACTGGCGTGGCTAAGGACGGACGACTGAGAAGTAGTGTAGGACAAACACATAGGATAAGCAAACAAAAGGAGAGCTCAGCAAAGCAACGTGAGTGTCATGTTCTCTAGGAAACCATTGGAATAAAGGCTAACCCCCCCCCGCATGTTGGTATGCGCCAAGCATCCGAATCCTATGAAACGAGTAGAATAGAAATGATCAGGGCATGTTCTGCCGTTGGAGCGATATCTGTCACAATACAACCACCCACTCTGAATTTTCCTCTCCGGTACGACCCCCCCCCTCATATACCCTACCAAGTGCCTGGATTCCCCCAACTTTACCACTTTCTTCTGATGGACTTCTGGAGGCATTATTTCAAAATTCTCCAGTTTTCCCCAAAAAAAACTGGCGTCAGGCGGGCTAGGAGGGGAAGTAGGTTCATAGCGCAAACGGGAAAACCGAGAAAATTTGACTTCTGAAAATTTTTTTACGGAGGAAAGCACGACCCTCCTCTATTCAACGACTGAATACGAATCCCATGGTGGGGATCTCCAGCGTACCGCAAGCCCTGGGAACAATCGAGTAGAGGGAATTTTCTTGCCCAATACAACGCGTCATTAGGGCCAACTGACTTTTGCCCAGCAAAAGAGGTTCCTTCAGATGAACCAGGACCGGAAGGCTTGATTAGCCCAGGCCTAGCTGTATCCGGGATTTGATTTATGCAGTGGAGACTTCATTTCCGAGGAAATGTACGCTGCATTTTCCCATGGAGAAGAAAAAACATGATGGATCGATTCCAGCTGGAGAAAACCTGCCGACGAGAGTCGGGAGACGGTTTCTGATCACCACAAGAGTTCCCAGGAAACAGAGCCCCGGACGTGTTCAGCTGGATGAATGTGGTGGAAATGTGTTTTGAAAAAGCGCAATTGCCCACAAAAACCGCCACATGCACGCTCTATACAATGGACGAACGCTGAATAAAGTTTACACTTTTCTGTTTCCGACTCCTCTTTGCTGATTCATCTTCTTCCCCGAACGGATCTTTAGAAGAGCATTATGAAATAGTCAAGAAGTCTTACGTCTGAGATAAAACACCCAAAAGACGTTTTTCACTGTCCAATAACTCAATGAGAACGTTCTAGATTTTGATGCTGTGCAGAGAGGTACAGGCCAATGGTGGAATCGATCAGTGGGAACTGGCTCTTTCAGCGGTCTCCGGAGTTGCTATTGCCCTTCTGCTGCAGTTCAATCCTTTCGATACCTTCAGAAAGACAGAGTTTTCGGCTATCAAGCTAACCCTGGGGTACGCCACGCGCTCTGCTTTCGACGAGAATCGTGGGATAGTCCTTTGAGCGATTCGGGCTGTCCGACGTGCTGGGTCACCCCCCCCCGCCCCCCCCCCGCCCCCCCCCCCCTTCGGACGAACACATGCCCCAGTCCACCTGACGGGTTCGTCGCCAGTCAACCCACCCACATACATATACAAGCAGGAGGAGAGAGGTGTTTGCTAGTTCTTTTGGCTTGTCCTTGTTAACTAAGAAGTTTGACACTGATGAGATCTACAGCCTCGTAAGCTGTGGAATGGTGCAAGCCAAGCCGGTTAAGGGTACATGCCACTTTCCCTAGCAAAAGCTTCGTCTTTTTTCGCGAACCAAAACTGATAAAAAAAAAATATCTCTATAAGGGTGGTCTGTACACGATTTTGTGAAAGATCGTTTAGATGGCCCATTAGGCCGAAATGGAGACTTCAACACACCGGCGGCGGGCTCGTTCCAAAACTTGACCCCGGACAATGCGTGCTTAATTTATCTACAACTTGTAACCCTGAAAATAAGTGGTAGAATTCGTCAACATACCCAAATCTTCTGAACTCTTTGGACCATCTATATGAGGGAAGCGGATCGGAAAACACTTATTTTTCAAATTCTTCGCTCTGAAACAGCCGCCCTTAATTTTTTATTGATGTCAAAAAAAAGTAAGCCAGACAATGACCACCCACCTTTTTCTGCCAATTTCCTCGCATGTCCGCTTTATTGCTGTCCTTCCTGCCTGCATTTCTCTTTGTCTGTCCGCTTGTGTCTGCCTTTCAATGCGCCTGCCACCTTGTTTTCATACTCATCTGTTTGTCTGTTTATTTGTCTGTCTGTCTGTCTTTTCCTGTCTCCTGTCTGTCTGTCCCTCCGTCTGCCCGCTTGCCTCTCCGCCCGTCTTTCTATCTACATAGTTCCTTACTTGTTTTCCCTTTGCGCTTTGTCTGCCTGCCTACCTGCTTGTCTGTCACTCAGCTTGTCAGTTTGCTTGCCTGGCTCCTCGTTCAGTTCCCTTTTCTGTTTCCTATTGCCCCCTTTCTTTGACTGCCTCTCTGTCGGTTACCTGTTTCGGCTGTCTGTTTTTTTCTCCTCCACCTGTTCATAGGCACAGCGCGGTTGTCTACTCATCTGTCTGTCTGTCTGTCTGTCTGCCTGTCTGCCCGTCTGTCTGTCTGTGACAAGTCTATTTGCCTTGATGGTGCCGGTACCAGTCACTGGAGTAATGTGAGCGAAAATCACTAGAAAATTATTTATGTAGCAATCGTTATACAAGGTCGTCGTGAAAAGTGGCTCTGAAGAATAAGAGGGACACTATCAATAGGAGGCAATCAGTTCAAAAATGTTGCACATATACATATAAAAAAACCAATCGCACCGGTTATTCACAGCATTCGCAAGTGAAAGTCAACGTTTGAGAAAAGTTTCGTTTACCGTTAGATATCACGAAGTAAAAAGCTAAGCAACAACGATGAACAAAATCAAGAGGAACTATTTGTGGAACTAGTTACTTCTAGTGGAACCCTACACTAATTCGTTCTTCAAGGTAGGTATTTATTTCACAAGTACGGCACAAATATTGATTTTACGCGCGCACCATAAACATTGGCTTCATCTTTTTACATTTTTGCGCTAATGCTCAAATTGCGAAAGCTACAAGCGATAAGCTATCCAAAGATGTAATCTCTGAAAAAAGTACCGAGAAAAGGCAGTGAACGACAAAGCAATGGAGAAGAAGGATCGAGGGAAGTCTGAAGAGGACTTGAGCATTTTAGCACCAAATTGAAGGTTGTTTTAAGTTAGGGTGCTGACCCTACTGACTGTCTCAAAAGCATCGTAAAGTGGTGGCGACGCCAGGAGACCAGGTAGCGGTGACACACACAAGCACACATAGACAGACAAGCGCCACATTTCCTAGCTCGATGACTCTGCCTACTGCAGCTTTTCCGCGTCAAATCGGTTGGAGAGCCTGGTGTGAATGTCGCGCAATCTAAGACTCCACTTATGACCGCTTTCTCCACGTCGCTGGGAATGGAATTCTCTTCCCAGCACTTTTCGCGGAGACATACGGCGCGAGAAGCGGTATCGAAAAAAATGAAACTTAGGCTGCGTTCATACCGTGCGACGTCGTCGTCAACGTCGACGTAACCTGCGTTTTCTGCGACTAGTTCGTGAAGATTATATACGTATCGATCCGACGAAAGCTGCGTAAGTTGCGTAACCGACGACTACTTCGCGAAGAATAGATACTTATCGATTCGACGAAACCGACAAAAGCGACGATTTCGGCGACTGGGCCAATTTTTGGCATTTCGTAAATGCTTCTTTCCCCACAACTCTTTTTACATCACTTATTTATTCCCTTTTATGTTTCTGAACAATTTTCCTGTTTCCTTTAATCATTTCAAGTAATCTTCCATGCATTCTATAATCGTCCTTGCACTTTTTTCGAGAAGAAATAGCATGACGTGGCTTACGTGGATTCCATGTGCATCCATATATATAGGACCTTTACTTCATATTCATCCACGTGTCACCTATAGGTCAACTCCCAGTCCTTGGTCTCCTATCTATCATTCGGCAATCCATTTTATTGCTTCTGCAAACTGTTATTTTATGCTGTTTTCAGGTTGCGGCAGCAAAACCCGCAAGTCAGGTCTGAGAGCGCACTATTCAAAAAGGGACGTATATTTTCAGGTAAGCTTTCTACTTTTCTGACATCACGTTCATTTTCTATGGGACACTGCCGCCTAAATCTCCACCCGAAAAAACTGGGGGCGCCAATTTTTTCGTCTCAGGGCACTTGTCAACCGAGAAGCCTCTCCTCTCTTTCCTTTTTTCTTCCTCCCTCTTCTTTTCCTTCCTTCCTTCTCTGATCCCTCCTCCTTTACCTTCTCCCTTCAACTACTGGACTGGTAGATGCCTCGTGAAAATAACCCTGGACCCTCGCAGCGAGAGCACGTCTGGTTGACAACAGCCCTGTAACCCAATTTTTTGCACAGCACGACTTCTTGCCATTGCGTACAACGCCGCGGTACAGTATCCTCACGCCTAGTTTCATTCACCGTGGCAGTGGCTTCCCGTGAAAGATTTGGGAGTAGCGGCTACATTTTCTCGTAATTGTCATACAGGTGTACAGTGATATCCTCTTCGTCAACAGTGGCATTAGGAGACAAGTGAGCTCAAGCATTAGACTTTTCGTTGCTGAAACTGTCTCTCGTCCGTAAAGTATTTTCTCCATATCACGGGCTTGATCGGTGTTCAGAAAAGGGCGCACTGTTTGACAAAGGGTATCCCCCTGAAGGTAAGAGCAAGAAAAGACCGAGACAGTGGATATTTTTTGTGACTGTTCTCCTAACATGTGTGAAAAGATGGCAGTTCGCGACAGAGTATTTGCACATACTGCGATCGCGCCATGGTCAGTGACTGAGTTCAACTGTTCATCTCAGTTGATCAGTACTTCGATGCAATCACAAAAAAAATCTAGAGGAAATGAAGGATACTATCAAGACACTCTTGAGCACACTACAAGGAGGACTCCATTATATGAACGTAGCTTTCTGATATCCTTTTTGTCAACCTTTTCCTTTTGACGTCCTTATTTCCTCAACAGTACTTAAAGACAGCGTCCGCGATCCACCAAGGTGAAGAAACCCTCTACTGTACAAGATCGCGGAGTCCGCAGCCACAGAGGATATCCCACTCCTGCGACTCGAAATCGCTTGATAAACGAAGGCGGAGTTACAATGATAAGCTGACTCGCCTCGCGTGTTAGTCCCTCCTCGACTGATTTTCTTTATCAATTCTCGCTGGCACTGATAATCGCTAAATTTCTAGCGTTCGTTTCTTACACTTATAGATAGATAGCTAATGGTCTCATGAGAACTGGCCGCAACTAGGCGGCGATGGCTTTCAGGAAACTCACCCAAATTGTGCGAAACTCGTCCAATTGCTTTCAGTCGAATAGGGTCTTATTCTCTGCTTTGCAGCATTTCATTTTGCTCTCTTCTTGACTAATACTTCATTCACCACATGTTCTAACGATTCTGAGCTCTACAACATTAGAAAGCTGATTGCGGGCGATGTCTTCAACTGTGACTTCCTGGATTTGACGAAATAACAATTTTTTGCATGAGATGAAAAAGGAGGAAACCATCGCTTTTGCGCTTCAGCTTTTTTTACCCATGTCTATCCCTTTTTAACTACTATTGTCA